ATACCAAATGAAATGTGTAGATTACCCTTTGAAATACATCGGGCAAACGGGCAGAACATTTAACACTAGATATAAAGAACATATACATGATATTAGGAACAATGATAGCAATTCCGGGTACACAAATCACATACTAAATACAGGACATGCATACGGAACAATAACAGAGGTAATGGAAGTTATAACAACGGGAAAGAAGGGCAGACATTTGAATACATTAGAGAAGTACCATATATATAAAATAAGTAAGAAGGGCCTACACATGAATGATACACACATAGAAACACACAATCCCATATTTCAAACGATACACGAAATATATACAGACTAACGGTACCTTCCTCTCCCCACTACCTATTCCCCCCTACACTCACCAACATAAAACTCAGCACACACTACATCAGACAGCACACGTAATAAAGAATAGCAGCGGCACGCACACAGAAAGACTACACAGGGTAAGTACAAATAACAATATACACACATAAGAAAACACCACATACATAAGATGGTAATACAAATATATTTGTATATTACAGATAACAACTATACAGTGTGGAAACAAGAACTAGCCGCTGCAGCACTTTAAACATGGGGCGAATAACCCTAATAATTTTAAAATTTTAAAATTTGGAGAAAGAATTTAAAGGTTTTAAAATTAGAACTAAAGATTTTATTATGGTGCCATTACAATAAAGTAAAATTAACGTGTGTGAAATAATCTACGAGCCAGACAGCTATCAACGGATTGGAAGTTGATAATGACAGGGAGAGTGTTTTAGATGTTAAATTTTGAGCTGGGTGCAGTGTGACAGCGACGTGAGTGTTATACACCTGATGATGGCCGTCTGAGGCCGAAACATGTAGTGTGGGGAAGCAAGATCAAAGACACAAAATATATTGTTTGCACTTGAGACGGAGTTATATCATTTATCGTATAGAGTGCAACAGGATGCTTAAATATAATATTGTATAACATTCTTCATTGAATGCCAAAAAAAATGTAATTTAGTTAATAAAATGTCATGATTTACACAGTCAAAAGCCTTTGCCAATGGTGTATTTGATAATACATTTTCATCTACATCAGTTATACAGCATGAAATGAAATGATGTGAAATGATGTGTATGAATGAGGAGTAGATAAGAA